GACCAGAATCCCCTCTAAAGGGAGTAGCAGTACTTAGAGTCCGGCTTCATACTACAGCTACAGAAACCTAAAACAGGTGCGTTTCCTACAGAAGTCATTCATTGTGGTATGTGGACTTGTTTGATTTTCAAGCAAAAGTCCACGAGACTTGCAAATTAGTTTTATATCGTTTCTCTTTTCAATACCTGTTACGTCCTAAGTACACCGAAGCGTTTTGTGATCTATTTTCAGTTGACAACGAGTCTTTATTGTGTATATCCAACACGAGCTCAATCCTATCGAATCCACCTATGCTCTTTTCAAGATCCTGGCGAATTTGTTTTGGCAGAGGTCGTTTCTTCTTCCTGAACTGAATGTAACAGCACCTCTTACCTTTTATTTTCTTTTAAAATTGCGCCGTACTTACGTATTGTTAGAGATTTTGTCATTAGTACCTTGCCGTGAAGCAAGCAGTACCTCACTTACCAACCCACGAAGTGTTCCATCTCTTCTCATAGCTAGATACCTCCCCGTCGCTGGACTCATCAGTCTGACGAGACTGGGCCCAAATGATTGCATCTCAAACAACACTGAGAACAGAAAGGGACGTACAAGTGATATAATCAGGATCTTCACTGGCCATGCGTTTCCTACGTAAATATGCTTGGGGTGGATTCACGTGGAATCCCGGTGAACGTGCGAACCACAAACTTCTGCGAAAAAGGTCTCCGCTACGAGACCGCCCTTAGGTCGTAAAACAGCATATTTCCATTGAGTGCCGTGATATCTGAGCCAGGACGAAGGTAACTATTACAGGCCAGAGAACAGATGAGGACAAAGGGAAGGAACCAAAGGAAATACAGGAAAGTGACCTTTAGCGCGGAAGGACGAAAGTGATCGAGTCGTTCGTGGATGAGATCTGATTAACCCTTTGATCCCTAAGAGTGATCAGCATCTAATTTCTCCTTACAATGTCACCCCTGAATCACGCATTAAAGTCAGGAGAATAAAGGAAATAATCACCAACTAAAGAAACTCTTGATTTTTAAACAAACTTTCCATGTGAAATAAAAGGAAATGTATAGAAATGTATAGAGAATATGCACAATGATGTTAGTGTATAAAGGGTTAAGAGGGCGCAGATAGGATTTCTGGACCGATCACTGGACAAGGTAAAGGAAAAAAAAACATGGTTGGCTATAACTTTGTAACTAAGCAGTTTCTCAGCATCAACTGTTGGTTTCTAACGATTAAGACTCGCCCTTGAAGTGATTCTTGTCAGATGTCGGTGTGATCTCAGCACACCTCTTTTAGAAATTCAAGTTCAGATATCGACTGCAATTTTCCTTAAATCCACTCAGATTTCGAACACGTTATGACTATTAGTTAATAGTTACCATTTTATTCTTACCGTACTTACTGCGCTGGTCAACCGTACCCCTCACTACCCCGCTGGGTAGAATTTGTAGGTGATAACCACTGCGACAAAATATTTTACATTGTGTTGTGGTTGTTGGTCTTTTCGTTATCTTTCGGACACGTCTGAAGGAACTTTCCGTGGAAGGTCGTGGCTGCTTTTGCCTCTTGAAGAGGAACGATCGTAAGAATCGGTTTTTGGTGTTGTCTTCATCGTTTTTGGAAATTATCTGAGTTCCTTTAAGTGATTTCCCCTCTTTCTTTTGCGCTTTTGTCTCGTTATGCAGTTTGGCTGAAGAGTGTGTCTCGGTAAAATATGAAATTGGAAGAAGAACGTACAGTAGATACGTGTAGTTCATAGCTGACACCTTGGATAGGAAAAATCAAATTAAAATCTGATGAAATATAAAGAAAGCAAAGCTCAATAAATTTGAAATTATGGAGGGCATCAAATGCGTTAAGATCTTGTTGACGTTGGAAGATTGGCTAGGTACTGAAAAACTGTTTTGCGAGCTAAAAAGGAAGTTCAAGTGTAACCTAACTAAGACACCACCCACACCAGCATATCTTGTTTAGTTAAACCAGGTTTAACTAAAGTGATTGAAAATCATAGCTTTCGAGTAGTCACTAAGTTCTATTTTTAATGTGTTCATTTTGAAGTGGACGAATATCGGTTTAAGTAGCTTCTATGAGGAAAAAGACCTCTACCCCGTCCCGTGTGTAGAAAACAGCTTTAAAATATGTCTAAAGAACTGCAAGTTCTCTCTACTCTCCAACACACTCTCCAAAAGCTTTTATTTATTTTTAAAGGAGAGTAATCTAGTTGTTGTGACAATGATGTGCTGGTCGCCAGTTTGATTAGTCAATTTTTTTCTTTGACCACCATCACAGAAATAACCTGATGATTGTGAAGATACTGATCTAACTCTTCCTTAGTGAAGAGAGAGAGATTGACTAAAAACAACTTTTAAGAAAAAAGATGGTTAGGGGGGAAGTTTTTCCGCATATTTACTCTCTGAATTAAAGAGACTGTATAGATTTTCCAAGTCATGCTGTCAAGATGTTTATGACCCAATTCGTTTTTTTATTCTATGTACTTCCTGACTTTAGAACTGAACTGTATCATTACATTGCGAAACTGAAAAGCGTGTTCAAGAGCTAACGCTCGGAATGTCGGCTTTGAAACACTTTAAGGTGGCCAATTTACATTCAGATCAACTCAGTCGATAAAACCAAAATTACTTTGTTACTCCCATCGACACAGCACCACAGTTTCTTTAGAAACTAACCTCCTTTATTCAAGATTCCCTTCCTTTAGTAAACAAAATGAATGATGTAATCTGACTGATGACAATAACTAGACATATTATATGACTTCTAGAGCAGTCTTTCAAGGGAGGTTGCAGTCCCTGAATTATTTCATTGGATATATCTTTACATGAATTATCGCAGACCTATAAAGCTGAATGTAGCGTTACCTTTTTCTTAAAAAAAAAATCATCCCACTTGAGGTAATCCAAGGTAACCTTAATAATCTCTTAAGAAGATACCACCTGGTCTTTGTTATTATAGGAACTGAGCGGCTTTGAATGAGTGACAAAGTAGGTTATGATCTGAACGTAAGGATGTTAAACACTGTTTGAAGACGCACTGAAGAGAGTTTGTTAACTACTTTCGAGGTGTTTCAACTTTTCTTTGCGTTCGGTGCTGAAAACAATACCGAGAAAAGGTGAAAGATTTCTGGAATTACATACCGGCATTTGGGTAGGACCATATGGTATACACAAATCCCTATCCGCGAGATTTCAAATGACTTCCAATCTTTGCCTTGTTCTATTTCAATTTTTTTACCGCCAGGTAAGCCGATCGTAAGCTCATTAAAAATTTTGGGGGCATTTCAAGACTCTGATTTTTTAATACGATGTAGTGCAGTCAGGAAACGACTGATTCAGCTACAAATCTTCAAGCCAATACATTTCTTTGATGGTTAAGTTATTGTTTTAGATTCATACCTGGATTTGAGTATCACTTGTTTTTACTGGTGATCTGGCACAACTGTACGCAAATGGTTGGCTTTAGTCGCGGCTATGAAATCGAAATGATAGATTTATCTTTTTCTCGCGACTACGAACATTCTTAGCTCAATAAATATAGTAATGACATAACTACAATTAACACTCTAGCCAGACACTCTAAAGTTTTTAGCACTCTATTGTAACATCAACCACAAAACCGGTCTGAAAAGCGAAAACCTCTTATAAACAGTTCAGATATTTTCAGTTCGCAACTAATTGTTATTTATTTCGTTATTGGCAGACTTGCGGTTTGCTTATTTCAAAAGCAAAAATTCGCGCGACCTTCTTCACATACCTTCGTATTAAAGACTATTGTGTTTCTTTGGCATTTTAGTCAAAGAAACAGACCTAAAATTGCGGCCTTTCTCTTCCAGACAAAGCGACACATTGAAAAGTATATACGTTATTAACACATACAGCTTCCTGAATCAAAAGAACCGGTTCAATTGGGCCTAAATCACTTCCGGAACGAGGCCATAAGCTTTGAGCTAAAGTAAAAAATCTCTAAAGGAAAATTGTTTACATGCGCAAGATTTTCTTAGTCTCCCAAAAGGCGCTCTTCGATATTTCGTGTTCAACTCATTGTTTGTTTGTATTTTTTAACTTCTTTTGCTACTTTTAAAGTGAAAAATCGTTGTATGGATGTTTGCATGACTATATAGTTTTGGTTCTAGTCTTTAGCTCTGACTAAGCGCTAACAAGAGTTAATTTGCACCGAATTTTAAGTAGTCGGCTTTCCTTTGACCTCACGTGCTGTCTTGGCGTAGGTTTTGTTCCTTTTCAATTTGGCCAACGTTCCATAACAAGGCAGTGTCTTTTAGGCACCCAACGGAAAAGACTATTGTTAAATTTACTACCGTAGAACATAAGTCCTGCCTCTTTCGCTGTAAGTGGAATAAAGACTGACAGAGGCGGGGTAAAGTGACAAAGCGATATAATGATTCATGTCCGACCTTTTGCTCACCTTAAAGATAAATATAGTTTTAGTCTTCCTTTATTTTCAGGCTCCTATGAGTGTTCCTGTTCGTTATTAAGGCCAGATTTTGTAATAGGAAGACTGTCATGGTACTCGGGATCATTTTGAAAGAAGTGGTGGTTGATAACAAAAGACATGGTTTGTGCTGAGTCGAAGTTATTATCGAAGACAAGTCAGAGTCACATAGGTTTTTCGGCTGATGGAGAATCATGAACCATTACTTTTTCTTGTTTTATTTAAGTTAAAACTATTGCAATGAAAGCATTTGCTTGAATATGCCGGTCCATAAATGAGAAATTGCCCTAAATTCTGATTATAATACTAATTGCTCCATTTGCCTCCCACGCTGAAAGCCTCTTTCTTATTTTCTTACTTATATGCCTATATCCTCTTTTCAAACTACCTTTGGGTGTTTTGTACACTGTTTCAAGCTCGTAGTGCCGTAATGATGAAATTTACTATACCCTCATACAAGTTTTTGTTCCAAATGTGCCTGGTTCAATCCGCATTTTTCTCAAAGTGAGACAAGTTGTATAAAACGCACAGCTCCGTATCAGACTAGAGTTTGTGGTTGCCCTCATCACGGCATTTCCTCCTCTAAAATGTCAGTGAAATTTTTGTCAGCTCATTTTCTAAGTAAAACTTAAAAGATAACTGGCTTTATCGTTTAGAGCTAAGTATTTCCAAAGTAATTAACAACCGCAGGCAGGCAAACCAAAGGCTATTGATGGCTACCACTAGTGTTTGCTTGCTTACTTTGCAAATCTTAAAATTCTTGCGCAGGATCTAACTTTGCAACGACTGAAGTGAACAGTTCATATTATTCAGACGATAAGAAACGGAACAACGAACTGGATTTGGAAAACGTTTTGGATGTCAACATTTTCCAAGCTGGTTAAGTGCCTTACTTTTGCACCTCGATCAGCAAATTTGATAAATCAAGTGAGGATATCAGGCTGTCCTTACTCTTCAAGTGTAACGAATTCTATTCATTTCATTCGCAGTCTTCCTCCGTCAGGTAATTAACAAACCTGGTCGGCTCATTTTTGTCTGAAATATCATGATCCTATTGGTCGCCGGAATCATGGCAAGTGAAGCACAAGTCATTCACTAGTTTTGGGGTCTGACATCTGATGCGTAACTTACCCCGACGATCAATATACCTCTCTATAATTCACAAACACAGGGAAGCGATTAAAAGGAACTATCAAGGACACACTAGCCGTCAATTCTTTGTTCATATTTACGTTGGATCTTGTCGCGCTATCAGTAGGAGAGTTATATCCTGCTTTTCTTCGCATTATCTCCATAAGGGAAGAAAACGAGATTGTTTTGTTTCGCTTACAACAAAGGCTGCACCATTAAGGCGATTTGCATCCTTATTTGTTTCCCTCAATAACGTTCAAGCTGCTTTCACACTGTGATTTCAACAGTGGTTTATTTAATTCGATTGGAACACCTACCTCCATTCAGATCCGTGCACTTTCAGAATGTTTGCATTTTCCACAGCGTTTGCTGGCTTCAAAAGCTTCCGGTCTTAATCCCAACTCACCAAGACGTCTCTATTTCTCAGACAAGTCTGGGTGAATTTGCCTTTTGCAAGAATATTTTGCTCCTCAGCCCAACCTGTCTCGAACGTAAGGCACCGGTGTTCTGGTAACGCCCGTTGGCGAAACCTTCGATTGATCTTAATGGCTCCGTCGATGGTAAGTCCTAGAATGACGATATACAAGTAATTTTTTTGTAATCAGTATGTGGTGGAGATATTTGAATAGCATACTAGCCCGGTTTTACGACGTTCAGACTCACCCACGATAAAAAGGCGTGGGAAGAATATTTGATACAAATTCTTTCTTTCGGGTACGCATTAGTGTAGCATGGGCGGGTGATTTCTAGTGACACTGATTTGATGACTAAAGTTTCCATCGACCTGTTGCAACCAAAGTTTAATAAACCTTCTATCTAAGAGAGTATAATTTCATTTCGTTGTTTAATCAAAGCAATCTCTCAAATATCTCACGAGGAAAGTTCTAGAAAATCATCCACAGCAAGGCTGTGTATAACTGAAGAAAATTGTTACTCTCTACGTATGATGCACGACCCTTCGCAGTAGATAGCGCTATTTATGCGATTGCATAAATAGCGCTATCTACTGCGAAGGATCGTGCATCATACGTATTTAATACCGCAGTTCAAAATATATGAACTTCATATATCCATTGTATCTGATTTATCATCACGGGTTTATTACGAATCAACTTAACGGCCTGCTCCCAGTTGGCTTGTTAGCTCAATTGGTAGAGCGCTGCACTAGTATCGCAGAGGTCAGTGGTTCGAATCCCGTACAGGCCTGATTTTTTTCAGGTCTGATTTTCGCTATTGCATAAATAGCGCTATCTACTGCGAAGGATCGTGCATCATACGTATTTAATACCGCAGTTCAAAATATATGAACTTCATATATCCATTGTATTGTGACTCTCTGTCGGCAAATTAATTGCTGACCAAAGCCTGTGATTCGTTGCTTAAGTCCACAAACTCGTGTTATCCAACGTGAGAAGGCGTTCAAAGAGAGACCTGCCGTCTTCAAACCACGGACAAAACTATATTAGCAGCGTTTGAGATGAAAAGGCAAGCTTGTTTCTCTATATTTCTGGTGCTGTTCATTGACTTGCGTGATTGAAAATAACGATCAAATTTCACAAATTCTAATATACTGTAATGTTTCCAAATAAAAAAAAAAGAATGTGCTACAATTATTACATTTGAGCCTTTTTTAAATTTCTTTCAAAAGGGCTTTGCATTCGAAAGCAATCTCGTAATTTCCATCTGTCTCCTCTCTCACCGGGACACTCCTCATGCTTAATTAACTCTGAAATAACAATAATGATAGAACAAGAAAAGGAAAGCACGAAACGAGATAAAAGCTGGCTTTGTCTACTGTTTTGAGCTGAATGTTCCGGTCGCCAGCTTTACGGTCAGCGGCTAACCTACTGTAGATGCTAATCTTTCACAAAGAGTTCTAAAACCCACAAATCTTCAGATAAAGGAAAGGCGAGAACAAAAAAAAGAACGGCTACGATACGCTTGATTGTTCTTGTTTTTCACGTTGTTGTTGTTGGGGGTAATTTTGGCGCGTCCTGGCTCGATCGTGACTGTAGCCTCGTTTCATTATATTAGAACAAAACGCTGTTTGATGAGAGTGCACGAAAACGAACCAAAAATAGCGAAACAAGTAGCTAAATATGGAAACTGGCGACCCCATACCTGACTCCAGATAACAGAATAGATCCGTTCATTTAAACTGGGCGATAAAACGACAGGAAAAAGTAATTTCTATTTATTCAAGCCATAAATAACTTGGCTACTTCCTCTGCAGCCAAGCAACTTTTTTCACTTTTTTAAAATAGCGGTTTTTAGAATCCACGATTCTGTGCCATCTCGGACAACCATTGACATTTATTCCTTTTAGGATAGAGAGACCTTCCCTTCTTTAAAGAACTTTTCGCTTAAATATTGCCTTTTTTATTCTCGGCAGCTTAGAGTTTCATTGTGCCTTATTTGGGCGGTGTTAGCTCTTTCTCCATTCCCGTATGTGGTATCCAGGCCCTCTCGTATACGCCGCCCCAGATGTATTCACTCTAAAAACGATGACATCGACGGGATCAACGCATCGTCGGAGAATATTCGAATAAACTACCAGATCTTCAAAGTTGCATCTAAAACTCCCTCTCATGTACAGATTGTGCAGCTCTTTTGCAAGACGGGATATTTTTTGGCGCTAAATGTCACAGCAAGGAAGAACCGTATCGTCGGTATCGTCAATGAATCAAGTGAAAGCAGTAGGTAGCTTGTATTGTCCCTTCCCCTCCCCACAGGGTACAACATGTACTCCTCTTTCGATTTGTGTAATTCTGTTCTAGTCATCACGAAAAAAAAGCTTGCTTTTATGGTCTTTGTACTTGTAGCATTTTTCGAGTCCCAATCCCTTGGAACGAGTATAGTCAGGCTGCGAAATATTGTCAGCGGAAGATTTTTGGCGATCAATTCAAAGGGAAGGATTATTACACAGGTATGGTTTCTAAGCTTGCCTTTGTCGAGGGTAATTAGATTAGATGGTGCTTAGAACGAGATGTCACGGGTCGAGCCCTGGCAACTCGATAAAATGTTTTTTCGAACAAGTTACTTAACCTCTCAGTGATTCTCTCAACCTTTGAGTATGACTGACTACCAGCAATGTAAGGGAAAATCAAACAATGAATTGCTAAGGGAGTTGGGGAGAGGGTGACATTTTATCGACTACTATCCCATCATACCGGAAATAAATTATTGCTAGCCCAAGCTCCAATCGCGCATTATTTCATGTACGCGCTTGTAGGAGAGTGCCAATCAACACTGTAGCCCAACTTATTTATATCATTCTAAGAAGTACATTGAACTGGTGAGATATGCAGCGAGCATGCGCAGAAACGATGACTCGTTGTGTAACTGAAAACTGAAATCGGCTTACTTTTTTTCGTAAAACGTTTACAAAGGTATTGATCATGAAAACTCGGTAGATCAAGTTTGAATCGAGAACGGATCGCAACGTTACAAGCAAATCTGAAGGTTTTCCCACAGATTACAAAATAGAAGTGATGATGATGATGACTTTATTTAAACTCGGATGAAAAGCTTGCTAGGCCTCTAGCAACAGAGATGCTAATATACCGAGGAAAAAAAATATGAATATTAATTACAGAGTTTAAAAATAAATAGAAGCCTTAATATGAATAATGATATAAAATTACAAATTACTTAGTTTTCTTATCTCATTCCTGAAAGGGCCAAATCCGGCCATTGATCTTAGCTTATCAGGTAATGCATAGCAAGCCTTAGCAGCACTGTAAGAAGTCGATTTAAGGCCGTAAGTTGCGGTATTAGTTTTAGGTAAAACAAGTTTGTTTTTGCCCCTAAGATTTTTCTTATTTTCTCTTACTTGAAATAAAGATTGAATATCCTGAGGCATATTGTTATAGAGGGCTTTAAAAATTATTAAAAGCATATCTTGTTTCCGTCTACAACTTAATGAGTAACCAATCTACTATCGTATCCGAGAGAGATATGAGAGCCCTTTCTTGGAAATGACACTTTCACT